GACAGTAGTGGAAGGAGGTTCTTAAAGAGGCAGAGGCCAATTTCAAGGCGTTTAGAAGAGGAAGTGATGAAAAGATAAGTTTATTTTCTACATAAAAACATCATTTTAATAACAACTAAAGGTGACATAGATACTTTATTATGGTAAAGTATTTAAATATATGCCTGAGAAATACATAATACCTACCTCACATATACCTCACAGATCGCTCTCTCATTCAAACTGGGTCAGTCTTTCTCTGACTCAGCACCACTCACTTGYGGAGTACCACAGGGTTCCATTTTGGGCCCARTTCTTTTCCTTCTATACATCTGCCCCCTGGCTCAGATCAAAGATTTCCCTGACATCTCTCACCATTTCTMCGCTGACGACCTGCAGTTATMCTGCTCTTTTAATGACTCGACTTTCTACAAGCTAACCTCCCTCTTAAACTGTGTCTCTAAACTAACTGAATGGCTGTCAGACAACTTGTTACTCCTTAACCTCAAYAAAACAGAGACCTTGATCCTGGCCCCCGACAACAAACACCAGGAGATAAAAGACCATCTCAGCTCCTTAAGTTCAACCTCCTGAGAACATGTGTCCAACCTACTGTAGGTGTTTACTTTGACTCAGGACTGTCTCTTGACAAACATATAAATAATCTGGTCTCCACCTGCTACTTCCAACTTCACAATATTTCGAAGCTGCAGCCTCTGTTGTCCATTTCTGACCTGGAATTAGTAATTCATGCGTTCATCTCGACCCACACAGGTTATTGTAAAAGCCTGTTCACCTGTCTGAACCAGAAACAGATAAATCATCTTCAGCTCGTACAAAACTCTGCAGCAAGACTCTTAACCTGAACTTCAAAATTCTCACACATCTCCCCGATCCTTYCAGAGCTTCACTGGCTCCCTGTTCATTTTCAAATCAAGTTCAAAATCCTGGTCCTCACTTTCAGAGCTCTTCATGTCCAGACGCCTGACTACATTAAAAGTCTCATCTCCACTTACAACCCAAACCCAGCCTCCGCTCACAGGATCAACATCTCCTAATGGTTCCCCTCACACGTCTCAAGACCCGTGGTGACCGGTCCGTCTCCTCCAGGGCCCCCAGGCTCTGGACTGAACTTCCTGTCCATCTGAGCACGCTTGAACGCATTGATTCATTCAAGAAGTATCTGACAACACACCTCTTTAAACAAGCTTTTAACTAATTTCAGCATTTTTCTGCTGCCTGACCTTTTAGTGTCTGTTTCACCAAACCCTGCCTGCTGACCGTACAGTTCATCGTTTTAATATATGTCAGACAGACAGTACTTTCATCCAAAATCAGTTCAATTTATCAAAAATGTATTTTTATAAAATATACCAGTACTGCACGATCTACCCAGAGACCTGCCTCCAAATTAACTTGATTTAAAAATCCTTTGTCTTAATATGTTAMTGTTTYACTCTGCCCTCCACGTTTTGTCTAGATATTATTTAATTGTTTTATTTGTAGGATTGTACAGTCTTCATACTTTGATGGTTGTACAGCTTTTATACTTTTTTGTTCCAAATGTTTGTAAATCCTGTTCTGATTGTATAGATTTAGATTTACCTCTGATTGTACAGCACCTTGTGAATCTGTTTCTATGAAAGGTGTTATACAAATAAAACTTTACTTTACTTTACTTTACTTTACTTTACTTTACTTTACTATAATATTGGCCCTTTAAGAACTAAGAAAATTAAAAATGTTTCATCAAACTTCCTCTGTGGCCCTGCAGCTCTGTGAGGGTCTGGTCCAGGTCCAGGTCCAGGTCCAGTCTGGGTCTTACTTGTCCAGCTGAGTCAGCAGGGCCCTCCTCTCCCTGTCCTGGTGCCTCCTCAGCAGCAGCAGCTCCCTCTCCTGGGCCCTCCACTCCCACAGGGAGAAGGAGAACAGGGAGTCTCTGTAGAGCGGGCTGCTCCTCGACAGCATGCTCCTCCACAGAGGAGCCATGGGCCTCCTGCTCCTCCTGCTGCTCCTCCTACAGACCCGGCATCCCGCTCCGTCCTGACGCACCTCCTGCGGTCTCTGGAGGGGGCGGAGCTGGGATCATGGGGTCAGCTGGCAGCAGGCGGGGCCAGGACCAGGGTCCAGATCAGACTAAAGCCAGATTAGGGCTGGATTTTAGTGGCTGCCTTCCAACGTCCAGAAGGAGGGGACGGACCGGGACCAGGAGGACAGAACCAGAAGGTTCTGACAGACGGTTTGGAGACCAGTAAATAAATAAATAAATAAATAAATAAATAAATAAATATCTTTAAAAAAAAAGAAATTAAAGTAGAAAAAATAGAAAACAATTCTTCTTTCCCGTCCTGAATAAGGAACGTCCAGCTCCTCGTCCTGCAGGAGGGACAGCGCTGAGACACGAAGAGGACGAACGGGACGGGTCAGAGACAGGAGGGACAGTCCTGGTCCTGAGGGCTCAAATGTTCACGCTCCAGCAGCTGAAGCTGAGTGATCAGACACAAAGCTGCTCCGCTCTGCAGGAGCTTGTTCTGGGACAGAGGGGCGGAGCCTCCTGCTGATGCTCCTCCTCCTGTCAGGACCAGGAAGCTGCAGCAGCAGGCCCTCAGAGAAAAGTCAAATAATCCCGTTAATGTTCAGTGAACGTTACGTAACGTGGCCTCAGCTCCACGTGTGCAGCTGGGTTTAGCTCTGACCCAGTTCCATCCAGGTCTTAATCACTTAACCTGATTAGAGCTGCGTTAGCGTTAGCGTTAGCATTAGCATTAGCCACGGCGTGCAGCAGAGAGCAGCTGGTCTCAGACTGAACCCAGACCCGCCTCAGGCTGTATTCATCCTTTCACATCTGAGGACTCGGATTGTTCTGCTGGATTCGGCTGCTTTACAACGACTTTATTCTGAAAATCACATATAATCAGCTGGCTTCCTGTTTGATCAGGAAATGTAAGGAATCAAACAACTTTCTGCAACATTAAAGTTTTTAAACAGAAAATCCATTTGTGAGTCTCTGGACTTTAATGCAATGCATTCTGGGAGATTTCTTAAAGTCAGACCTGAAAGCTAAAAGTAGCAAAATGCTAACAGCTAAAAGCTAAAGGTTTGAGATCTGGATTTGTTTCTGTGAAGAAAATGTTTGTAAACTAGATTTTATTTTTATTTATTTACCGTTATTTTACCAGGCAAATCCCATTGAGATCTCAGATCTCTTTTTCAAGGGCGGCCTGGGCCTGRAGGCAACCTATTGTACATGTTTTTGTGTTGTGGGGGAAACCGGAGTACCCGGAGAAAACCCACGCAAGCACGAGGAGAACATGCAAACTCCGCACAGAAAGRCCCCAGGTCCGAACCGGGGATCGAACCCAGGACCTTCTTGCTGTGAGGCGTCAGTGCTAACCACTGAGCCGTCGTGCAGCCAAATACCTCAGCTGTAGAATATAAGACCCCCGCCCCTGCACTAGAAGTCACCAGAACAGATTTATTGTTTTGGGTAGGGGTCCAGAGGGGTCTGGGGGGGTCCAGAGGGAGTGGGGGGGNCTCATTGGTGGGTCCGATGGATAGCCCTTCATCAGAGCTTGGCAACAACAGAAAAAATCTAAAGCTTCTGTGTCGAATAGTTTTTGAGTTATAAGCATTTTTTATAGACACCCTGTTTTCAGATGGAGCCCCCTCCTCTAATATGGGGTCCATCTTAAAACTGTCAGCTGGTGCAGTGTAGGTTAGACCCATCTACATCTACATCTACATCTACATCTACATCTAAGACGTGTTAAGGTCAAAAAACGCTGACTCATGGTGAATCAGACACCAGACCACAGACACAGAGGAGCAGTTCTGACCGGACAGCGAGCAGCTCCGTCTTCTCCTCCGGACCTTCAGAACCGTCTCCTGTCAGGACACAAACAGAACCCGTCACCGCTGACCTCGGGAGCGTCTCGTCAGAACCGGACCGGCTGGACCCACCTCCTCCGATCTTAGAGGTGATCCTCTGAGCCAGAGCGCCGGCCTGAGCCAGCTGCTCCCTGAAGCTCTGGCCCATGTAGTAGTCCACGTCGTTGGCCCTCAGCAGCTCCTCGAAGGTCCTGGTGGTGTCCCCCAGGTGCTGCGTGAGGACGCCGCAGACGCCGCGGCCCTCACGCAGCACCTGCCGCAGGTGGGACAGCTCCCGGGCCTGAGCCTTGATCAGAGAGTCCAGGTTCCTGCAGGATCAGGAGACAGACGAGGATGTTAGTCAGGAGGACAGGAGTTTACCCACGATGCACCTGATGACTCACCCCGTCCAGGAGGCGGAGTCTCCATCCTCCGTCTTCTTGACACCTGTCCTCAGCTGGTCCTCCAAAGCGTCCACTCTGGACGTGAGCCTCTGAAGGTCTTTGTTCGGGTGACGGGGCGACGAGGACGCCCCCCCATCAGAGGACTGCCAGCCCTCGTCCTCGTCCCCCTGGCCCAGGCAGGACCAGTTGACCTTCCGGAGAGAGGGGGCGGTCCCAGAGGGGGCGGTCCCAGAGGGGGCGGTCCCAGAGGAGGTGGACAGGAGGCGGAGACGGCCGTGCAGCCCCCGGACCACCCCCTGAGAGCGGGACAGCTGTGAGCGCAGCTCCTCCACCAGGCGCCGCAGAGACGAGACCTCGTCCCCRTCCCTGTCCCCGTCCCCAGAACCCTGCAGGGTGGGTCTGGTGGGACCGCTGCTGTTGGTGGACCACCACTGGGAACCACAGTCCAGAGACGTACACATCTCCAGGTCATCGAACTCTGCAACATCCAGCAGGTGGTCATCAGCATCATATCAGCCGAAACAGACTTTATCAGCCAAAATAGACTTTATCAGCCAAAATAGACTTTATCAGCCGAAACAGACTTTATCAGCCGAATCAGACTTTAACTGTCAAATTATCACATATCAGCCGAAACAGATTTTATCAGCCGAAACAGACTTTATCAGCCAAAATAGACTTTATCAGCCGAAACAGACTTTAACTGTCAAATTATCACATATCAGCCGAAACAGATTTTATCAGCCGAAACAGACTTTATCAGCCAAAATAGACTTTATCAGCCGAAACAGACTTTATCAGCCGAAACAGACTTTATCAGCTGAAACAGACTTTATCAGCCGAATCAGACTTTATCAGCCGAAACAGACTTTATCAGCCGAAACAGACTTTATCAGCCGAAACAGACTTTATCAGCCGAAACAGACTTTATCAGCCGAATCAGACTTTATCAGCCGAAACAGACTTTATCAGCCGAAACAGACTTTAAACAGTTGAAACAGACTTTATCAGCTGAAGAATCTTCAGCTGAGCAACAAGCCTGCACTCAGAACGGTCTCCTGGTTCGTGGGTTATTTTGCTAACAGACAGAAACTTGGAGGTGATGACATGTTTGCTGCCTCCTGCTGGTGGACCTGAAGAACTACAGGACCCTCTGAACCCTCCTGCTGGAGGACCTGGACCTGCTGAACCCTCCTGCTAGTGGACCTGAAGAACTTCAGGACCCTCTGAACCCTCCTGCTGCCCTCGGCTGTTTTTGGGGCTCAGCTAAAGGTTTTTTAATTTCCTGTTTTATGATTTTGAGGTTTTTGGACCCTCCTGACCCAGACTGGTAGTCCAACCCACCTGGACTGCTGGCCCCATCCCTCTCAGCCTCGGTCTCACTGCGGCCGCAGGTCTCGTAGCCCGGATCCTGCAGGTCCACTTGGACCTGCTTGCTGTCCTGCTGCACGGCTGTCTCTGCTGCAGAGACACAGGAGGACAGTTGGTGGACGTCCTGAGGACCAGGAAGCGTGAGGTTTGTCCTGGAGGTGTGGACTCACTCAGCAGGTCTCTGTAGTCCTTCAGCTGCTCCACCTGGACCTGAACCGTGGCCTCGGAGACCATCAGTCTCTCCTTCAGGTCTCTGCTGGTCTGCTGCAGACGGAGCATGTCCTCAGACGGAGCGGGACGCTGCGGACTGTCCTCCAGCTGGTCAGCAGGGTCCTGTTTGAAGACAGAGCAGAGGTTCTGAAGGTCCAGGATTTAGGACCTGAGCAAAGACCATTGACTCGTCTCACCTGGGAGGAGGTGCTGAGGAGGACCTGACTGTCCTCCACGTTCTCCTGAGACACAGACGGCTCTTTGTCCCAGGTGTCCCACATCTCCTGAGACCCCTCAGCCAGCCGACGCCTCAGAGCTCGGTTCTGGTCCTGCAGGTCCAGCAGGGTCCTCCTTCAGGACGGAACCAGAGACAAGGTTTTTAAATCCTTCACTGGTTCCAGAGAAGACGAAGGACAAAGGTTTTACCTGATGTGAGACAGAGACGAGAAACCAGATGTCTTCAGCTGCGTCTTCAGCTCCTTCAGTTCTCGCTCCACTTCCTGTTTCTGCTCCACCAGCTGCCGGACCCCCATCAGACCCAGACTGTCCAGGTCCTGTCAGAAACCACAAAGAAGGTCCAGTTAGACTAAAATACACAAATTTATGTCCAGGTTGGACTTCATCATGTTCCACGTGTCCAACATGTCCATGTCCAACATGTCCAACATATTCAACATGTTCAACATGTCCAATATGTTCAACATGTCCAACATGTCCAACATATTCAACATGTTCAACATGTCCAATATGTTCAACATGTCCAACATGTTCAACATATTCAACATGTTCAACATGTCCAATATGTTCAACATGTCCAACATGTTCAACATATTCAACATGTTCAACATGTCCAATATGTTCAACATGT